ATAAATTATATCCTTTTAAGTTCAGTATTTTCTTACGATCACATAGGGTCACTGAAAATCTAAAGTTCTAAAATCGTGTCAATTTTCTAACGCAAATTATTTGCATCAAACTACAGACAAATTATTCTGGTATTTACAAACTCCTTCTCTATAACCAGTCTGTGACACTACCTCAAAATGTTGGCCATTAAACTCACTTCTATTACCTTTTTAAATATTATCATTTATACTTTTATAATAATCACAAGTTGCTTACTATAAATAAACAACTACAGTTAGCTCACAATACAAGAAGTTGTTATATTGGAGTTGTTATAATCTCAGATATCAAATTTTCTAAAAACATTAAAATAAATATCTGATATTCTCCAAAGCAGTGGTTCCTCATCTGTGGGTCATGACGCCCTTGGGTATCATGCAAGGTAGGCCAGGGATTCATGAAACTTACAGCAAAGTACTTGAAGCTAAACATTTTATTTCAATGATACGCCTGTAAGTTAGGGTCCTACAACACATTAACTTGATATTTTCATTCCTTTTCCTTCTCAGAAAATTGACAAAGCCTGAACAGCTGTACTGCATGTGATTTTGGTCTTTACAAAGAGGCCAGGGGCATAAAAATGTTGGAAAACCACTGATCTAAAGGACTAAGAGAATCCAGATACCTATATTACCATATGCCTGACTTTGCACATATAACATGTATAGTTATAAACAAATGACTTTATCTCTAAACTGGTAACTTTTCAAACAAGATATCTTTTTTACTAGATAAATATAACACCTTATCTAAAGTTAAAATATTGAACAAGAACCTTTTATTTCCAAGCATCATCCTAAATACATGCACAATATAAACATCTTTACCTTAAAGTCCCAATAATACAAGAAATGCATCTAGTAAATTCAGTTCTAACTGGTAAAGTCATCAAGGACATAATGTTAGCATCAAACAAGATGTATGCATACCACTATACACGTGAAAACTATAACAGTTATGAGTGAATTTATGTCTATGTTGCATACAATAGTTCCTATCTTAGAGCTTTTGTAAATGCTGCATATAAAAAAAAAGGAATTCTCACACACAGCTCTTGGTCACATAACACAATCCGACAAACAAAGAAATCAACCGTAAATACCATCATCACCGTCACAAAAATACGCGTGTGTATTATGCAGACATTGGGAGTGGTGGTAGGGCAGGGTTATGGACATGCATCACTCCTTAAGCAGCGCCAAAAATTTGAAAAGTGCAAGAGACGATACATGCGCATTTTTTTTTTCTCTCTCTCTAGGCATAGAGATAATATTTACAACACACACACACAAAAAAAAAATGAGAGGAAAGCCTAGAACAACATGAATGAGCATTGATATAAATCAAATAAAAAGAGAAACCAAAATTATCCTCATTATAAAGGAGTTGAAGCGAGTCTTGAATTGGTCGACTGTCATTTGTGAATTATGGTGTGACATGAATTTAGGATGAGAATGTTAGCAACAGAAGGGGAGAAATAAAAAGGAAAAAGGCAAGAGCAACAGACATTTGAGTGGCAATTATTTCCTCCAGACAAAAAGGGAAAAAAAAAAAAAAATCCTTGATCACCATTCATTCTCCTGAAGGTGATGGAATACATACTCACTCTACATTACTGCGAGTGTATATAGTATGTTTGTATGTATATGTTAGTGTATGTGCATATATGTATGTATGTGTATGTGTATGTGTATGTGTATATATGTGTATATATATATGTGTGTGTGTGTGTGTGTGTGTGTGTGTGTGTGTGTGTGTGTGTGTGTGTGTGTGTGTGTGTGTGTGTGTGTGTGTGTGTGTGTGTGTTGTGTGTGTGCGTGCGTGTGTGTGTGTGTGTGTGTGTGTGTGTGTGTGTGTGTGTGTGTGTGTGTGTGTGTGTGTGTGTGTGTGTGTGTGTGTAAGAAATATACATACAAATATATTTCTCATCCACATCAGAAATTCATATCTTAAATTTTCCTTCTTCCTCAGGAGTACCATGAACAATGATCAAGTGTCAGGAGGAGGACAATAACCAGCAGGAAATGTTATTTTCATGGTTGGTTACTCATCTTTTAATATCAATCCATAAATAATCTATTAAACGTAACTGCTCTATTTCCTCCTAAAAGGTGACAAAGGCAAAACTTGCAAGTGCAATTTGGCTATTCATTCTGATAAATGGAAATACTCACATTCACTTAATTCTTATACAGATCTATCTATCTTTTAAGAGGAAAATTTGCCCATTTGCATATCAGATCACCGATTAAGATAAAAGCAATCAGCTTGCATGAAAATATTATTTCCCTTAAAACAGAAAAGAAATCAAAACAGAACTAAAGAAAATAACAAAAGTAAACAAATAAAAAAAAAACAACAAATCAAAATAACTTACTCAATCATCCTCTATGTAAATCTTACAGTAAACGTAAGATGAATAACATCTAGGAATTGAGAGCTAGATTAGCTGATACTTACGAGAGGCTTGGATCGGTGCGTGTCCACACAGTCGATGGGGATCTTGAAGAACTCCACTTTGCAGCCATACGCTTGCGGTGTGAGCTTGATTAGTGTGTGTAGAGGAACTCTCAAGTAAGGGAGCTCAGCTGTATGAGTGATTACAGAGTGCATCAATCTCTATATAAAAAGTTTGATATATATTCTATACTGACATCTATAAGTTCCCATATGTCTACTTGTTTACATATATGTATGTATGTCTATATATATTTTGCGTGTGTGTGTGTGTGTGTGTTTGTGTGTGTAAGAGTGAGTGAGTGAGTGAGTGAGTGAGTGAGTGAGAGAGAGAGAGAGAGAGAGAGAGAGAGAGAGAGAGAGAGAGAGAGAGAGAGAGAGAGAGAGAGAGAGTGTGTGTGTGTGTGTGTGTGTGTGTGTGTGTGTGTGTGTGTGTGTGTGTGTGTGTGTGTGTGTGTGTGTGTGTGTGTGTGTGTGTGTGTCTCTATTTCAAGTGTCTCACAAAATCCTATAATAGTCACTCCATACTGCATATTCAATCTATTAACCCTAATAACACAAAACTTTAACAAGATCTCCAAATCCACCTTTCTCTCAAATTATGAAAAATTTGAGAAAGAAGGAAAGAAAGAAAGAAAAAAAATCTTGAGCAGACCAAAAAAAACAATACAGAATGCAGCTGACCACCAGTTTTGTCGAGGAAGTAGGCCAGCACGCATCGCAGGACTGCCTGGTGCCCAACGACCAGCACGTTCTCCTGCCGTTCCAACTCCATGATCACACTCTCCAGCCGCACAACTACATCTTCGTAGGATTCTCCTCGAGGATATCTACAGTGGGATGTAAAAAGGAATCATAACATTTGCTATTATGTGTACCAGTATATGCTATTACACAAATATACGAATATTGTAGGTCCATAACATTGTCTTTCTCTTATGGAGAAAAACTCTCTATTTATACTTCAAGATATCTAAAGCCACCCACTAAAGATCGAAGACTAATCATCAGAATATCAAACCAAGAGGAGGAGCGAAACAAAGAATCTCTAAATACCTGTAGGAGTATTTGTTCTGGTCACGAGCGGCAAATTCTTCTGGGTACTGTTCCTGGATCTCTTCATAGGTCAACCCTTCACAAATACCCTGTAAAAGGAGAGTGAAGATCTGATTACTGAATCAAGGTAATGATAATAAATGGAATTTATCAATATCAGTCATCCTAGAAGCTACATAAAATAAATAATAAAAAACTTTATATATACAAATATATACAAATATATATATATATATATATATATATATATATATATATATATATATATATATATATATATATATATATATATATTTGCATCAGAACATTTTAACCAAATTTAAATACAGTGGTTACAGGCTAGGCGACATCTTTAGCATGTCAGTATCAACCTCATAGATTAATATTATCTGCTTTCTAGATAATAATTCACTTTTCAAGAACAAATAGAGGTCAGTTGCCAGAACATTACATTTAATCTCAAATTTTCTTTCTGATAATCCTATCTTAGTACCCTGTATAACAGTCCAGAAATGAACAATCATATTCTTCCACCTTTATCAACTTTCTAATCTCCTTGAAACTATCTTTCACAATCAACTTCCGCGTACTATTACCTACAACATCCTACCACAAAACAACTTTTCCTAGATGCCAATTTCAAACACAGCCAACACTCCCAACACTGCACCTCTTTCAGCACTCTAACCCTCTGCCCGACCCATGAAGTCCATCTCACCCCAACATCTCCACCTTACCCTAATCCAACTCCAACATCACGCTCCACTTCCTACAACCATTCAACCCCAACACCCCAAGGTTACGCCACTCACAGCATCGATCTCGTTGAGGGACTTCCACCTCTCCTGGGGTGCACTGATTCCGGCCGCAGTCTGAATTGTCCTCTTCATGCATGACGTCCACACGCGGAGGTTTGGAATGTTCTGCCCACTGATGAACTTTGCCATGGCATTGGCATACTGGCGGCCACGGTGTGAAAGGTCCGTGTCACCCCCAATGCGGCCCAGCTGGTTGAAGAGCGACTCTCCGTGCTGGAAGGAGGATATAGGTAGAGAGAGAGACGGTTACTTGATGGCAGTATGGTAAATATGACGTAATTAATGTTGCTGTGGGTAATGTCCTATATGGTCAATGGCTGCCTAAGTATGACACTTGAATTCCTATTAAGTAGGACCTCATATTTCCTCTAAGTAATTTTCCTACAGAAATTTTATGATTTTAGTGACTTCAAACATGAGCAAACATCATAAACACAAGACCTGATTAATCTCTTCCAATTTTTTTCTGTTTATCGATGGTCTTCACATGTTCAATAAAGCCCTAAAACCCCAAGACTATAACAATGTTTATATTCCTTAACAGTCATTATAACCTTATCACCAACTGTGTGGCATAATATGGCTAGTGTTGATGGTAATACTGCATGTTGCTGATAGTATGTAGTATATCAAAGTATGCGCTTGATTGTGCTGTGGTATAAAGAGACATGAAGAGGTTTCATCACTAAAATTTTTGTAGTATGTGGGTTCCATTTTGATGATTATTAAAGGTAATCATCAAAGGTAAGGGTATCTATGGAGAATTACTCCAATTTACCAATTCACACACTCACACACACACACACACACACACACACACATATATATATGTGTATATATAGTTATCTACAAAGCATAGGAAATTCTCTTATAATAATAAATACAGTAAACCTTTTGCAATACATACCCTAGTGAGGTAAATAGATCGTGGTGTGATATGAATATTCATGAGATAGTATGCAATCCGGCTTTCAATGTGTCCCTCTTGCTTGTGTACCACAACGCGGCGACCTGCAGTAGGAAATAATTTTAAACAGTGTTTTTAATTCTAACAATTACATCCATTATGTTTAACGTCTTAATAAAAATAATTTATATGCTAATCACCAAAGAAAACACATTTTTCAAGTAACATCTCCTGTATCCACACCATATTTAGTGTTCAAATTAGGAAACAAAACTCCTTTATCTCTAAGTCTTCCCCAATCCTTGCAGTTCTTTGAGTGAGACAATAAATAAATAAAAATCCTTTACCAGCATCAAAGATCTTCATAAAACTGTACTGGCTTTCCTCTTCCTCGTCCAGCGTCTCATAGGAGATGCGGTAGTGCTCGATGCGTTTGAGGAAGTCCTTCACGGCATCCTCTTTCTCCATGTTGGTGTAGTCTGGGTTGGTCACTTTGCATTCCTGGGTGACGAGAGAGAGAGATAGACATTTAGGAAACTGGGTCTCTGCACTTTAAAAATTAAAAATCTTGTCAATCTCTTTATCTGATTTCTGTATCCTAAGTGAAAAGTTTGAGAGATACATAAAATTAGATAATACTTTGAAGTAAAATATTTGTCCCCAACATAGAGGATACCCTAAACAACTAAAATATAACTTGAACACTTAAAAACTCTAAACTAAACCAATCCTTTAATCTCAACACTCCTCTAACACTTCCACCCAAAATTTCTCAAACACAATTTTTAATGATGAAAACAAACCAAACAAAAAAAGCAAAGAACCCTAATACACCAACCAAACTATCTCCTTACGTCCCTAAACAAAAAAAAAAGCAACAAAAAAAATAATAAATTTTGCTTACCATGATGTTGGTTTCAATGATAGACGGATCATTGCAAATCGACTCAATGTAGAAGAGCTTGTATCCCATACGCTGGCAGACAACGTGGTGGATCAGCTCCCGTCGTTCCCTGCCTGTGTTGGTTGCGTCATATACAGCAACCATCCCCCCAGACTGCAGGAACTCACACACATCCTGGAAATGGAAGGCAGTTATGATAAATTACAAACGCAGAGAGATGACGTTAGCTACAAAAATGTATATCTGCCAACAGGGAGATGAGTAAATTAAATCAAGAAAAATTGTTTGCAGAGATATCTGAAATTCATCAAAACCTTCATCACAGAAATTGTGAGAAGAGGGATGACAGAAAAGGGTAGGTAGGGTATAGGGGGAGTGGAGTAAGGAGGATGAGGATGAGAAATAACAGGATAGGAGAGAAGGAGAGAGTGAAAAGGGAGAATGCAAGAGAGAAAAAGAGAGGAAGGAAGGAGGAAGAGAGGAAGTGAAAAGTGAGAATGGAGGAAAGAGAAACAAGGAAGGGAAGGAAGGAGAGAGGAAGTGAAAAGGGTAAATGCAAGAGAGAGAAAAAGAGGAAGGGAGGGGAGGAGAGAGGAAGTGTAAAGGGAGAACAAGGAAGAGAGAAAAGATGAAGAAATGGGAGGAAGGAGGGCATGGAAAGGGAGAGAAAAGAAAGGAGAGAGAGTAGGAAAGGGATAAAGAGGAGGAAAAAAGAAAGAGTAAGGGAATGAAAAGGAAAACTGAGGGAGAGAGAAGAAAGAAAGTATAAAAGGTCGAATAAGGAAGAGATAATAAGGAAGAGGGTGATGAGAGAGAGAGTGGGAAAAGTGAGAATGATAGAAAATGGAAATAAATTAAAACAGTGATGAACACCAGGAATAAAAGGAAGAAACAAAGATATAACAAAAAATAAATAAATAAAATTTTAAAAAAATAAATAAATAAAAAAATCAAATCAAGCAGTATACCAACCTGAAGAGCATCAAGTGCACATTTATTCCTGATATTGGTGCCGTCGCGATTTCTCGGGTGGAAGAAATCGTGGCCTTGGTAGCTCCCAATAGCCCGACGACGATAATCCCCGACATTGAACACTGTAAAAGGCGTCATTACTTTTTAACATACATATACAGGTTATCTATTGGTATTTTGTACTGCATTATTTTTCTGTCCATTATCTTAATACATATATCAATAAAAATGAAGTGGCACTCTACATGCTTATCAGTTTATCTATAATTTTTCAGCTTTTTTTCTCTTCCTTTTTTACAGTTGTCTTTTTATGCAATTACATCTAATATTCCAAATACAGTCAGACACAAGAAAAGCAAAATTCAATGATGAATTAAACAGAGACAAATTCAGTCAATGACTTCTATGAATGTACAATATAAATATAAAATAAATACACACTTATACATTTAATTAAATAATATAAAATACTTTTTTCTTTTTTTTTCTATTAATCTGCTTCTTTCTTTTCTTAGCAAAATAGATTTTATATTCATTAGTTTTTTGAAAACGCACATTATCCATAACACTATAATCCAATAATACAATTCTAAGCAAGAGGGGCTTAATGATCAAACGTACCATGTAAACCCATTTAAGCACAACAATAAGACAAAGACTCCGCAACACACCTTTTGTAGGAAGGCCGACCCAGTTAAGGTACCTTGCCAACTTCATGGCAATGTAGGTCTTGCCACGAGCAGGCAGACCCACCATGGCAACAACGTGGGGAATGTTGACATAGTCCATTCCGGCTTCTGTGGGAGAAAAAAGGTAACAATATCTTAATAATGGATAATCTTATTTCTACTAATATAGAACAACAGATATAGACTAAAAATTCTATATCAATCTATTTTCCTGCTAAGATCACTCAATACTGATAAAGGTATAACTAAAGAATAAAAACACTAATTCTACTATTTCTACTGCTATTCCTGCAAATGAACAATAACAACAAAATCAACCACAGCCACCAATATTCTATCAATGACATGAACAAAGGTAGAATAAAACAACAGTAAAAAAAAATAATAAAACCTGTGCACATACCATTGACACGAGTATATGCATCACTAGAGTACAGACTGTCAAATTTTGTGCCAAGCCTTGGGGGTTCTGGGGATTCAAATATAACCAGAAACATTTTTGACCTCTTATTGCACAAGAAAACCAGTTTTAAGTATCCATTTGGGTTGCAACTGTGTGACCTAAAACAAGATTGAAAAATTTGAATTGGAGGAAGACAGGGTAAGTGAGAAGAGATGAAGAGTGAGAGGGAGGGAGGGGAGGGGGAAGGAGGATGAGAAAGGGAGGGGAGGGGAAGGGAGAATAAGGGAGGGGGAAGGGAGAATAAGGGAAGGGTGAGGGAGAAGAGAGGGGGGAGGGAGAAGAGTAGAGGAGCAAAGGGAAAAAAGGAAAGGGAAGGGGAGGGGAGGAGAGGGGAGGGAATGGGAGGGAAGGGGAGGGGAAAGGAGAGAGAAGGGGAGGGGAAGGAAGGAGAGGGGAGGGAGGGGAAAGGGAGGGGAGAGGAGGTGGAAAGGGAAGGGGAAGAAGAAAAGGAAAGAGAAAGGATGAAGACAAAGGGAAGGGAAGATGAGGAGGGAAATGGCAGGAGAAAGAGAAAAAGAAAAAGAAAAGTAGGACTAGGGAGGAGAAGTAGGATGAAATGTGATGAGGAGGCAGAACAAAGGAGAACAGGAGGAGAAAAGTGAGAGAAGCAAGAGGAGTAATAGAAAAGGGAAGGAGGTTGAAAGGAGGGAGTGGGAGTGGGAGTGGGAGTGGGAGTGGGAGTGGGAGTGGGAGTGGGAGTGGGAGTGGGAGTGGGAGTGGGAGTGGGATGGGAGGGAGGGGGAGGGAGGGTATGGGCAATGGGTGTGTCAAAGCTTCCCAGGCAACAGCCATCAGCAATATTGGTCAGCAACTCCAAGGGCTGACTTTCACCGGTCAATGTACTTGCAAGACCAGGCAATGGGGTGAACAGGGAGAGGGAGGGGAGGGAGGGAGGGAGGGAGGGAGGGAGGGAGGGAGGGAGGGAGGGAGGGAGGGAGGGAGGGAGGGAGGGAAGGAGGGGAGGGGGAGGAGAGGGTATGAGACAAGGAGAAAACCGAGGGAGAGAGGGAGAAAGGGAGAGAGGGAGAAAGGGAGAGAGGGAGGGAGAGGGGAGAAAGAGAGAGAGAGAGAGAGAGAGAGAGAGAGAGAGAGAGAGAGAGAGAGAGAGAGAGAGAGAGAGAGAGAGAGAGAGAGAGAGAAAGAAAGAAAGAAAGAAAGAAAGAAAGAAAGAAAGAAAGAAAGAAAGAAAGAGAGAGAGAGAGAGAGAGAGAGAGAGAGAGAGAGAGAAAAAAAAAGACAAAAAAAGAAAGAGAGAAAAGAAAAGTGAAAAAATAATAACAATACCTCCCTTTTCCCACCACCTTAGCCCCCAAACACGACACCCCTTCTGCCCACACACGACACCCCCTCCCCTCTCTCTATCCACACCTTTCCCCCCCTCCCCTCTCTCTCTATCCACACCTTTCCCCTCCCCTTCCTCTCTATCCACACCTTCCCTCCCTCCCACCCTCCCTCTCTATCCACACCTTCCCCCCACCCTCTACCCCCCCTTTCTACCCCCACAGAGGCACATTCCCGGCCGGCGTTGGTCCCTGCGCCAACAGCAGACGATAGTTGCATCATCCCCGCCTCGTCCGCCCACCCTACGGTCTCCCTTCCGGTCAAGCTCGGTGCTGTTGATTATACTGATGGTACTGCTGCGTTGTTGTTGTTTTTAAAGGTTTTATTTTGGGCTGCTGTTGTTGTTGGGGTCACTTGTTTATCCAGGCGATATGGTTAGGTTCGTTTTTCTCATGATCTTGATTTTTTTTTATCAACATCATCATCATCATCATCACCATTTTCGTCATCAACTATGCCATCTTCGTCGATATCGTTATCATTATTATCATCATTATCTTTATCATCATCATTATCATCATCATCATCATCATCATCATCATCATCATCATCATCATCATCATCATCATCATCATCATCATCATCATCATCATCATCATCATCATCATCAATAACAAATACATATCTACACAGAAAAATAGAAACTGCGTGAGATAGACATACATACATATATACAATTACACATATATAAACTTAAATGCATGCATACATATATGCATGTATAGATACATACATACATACATACATACATACATACATACATACGTACATACATACATACATACATACGTACATACATACATACATACAAACATACAAACATACAAACATACATACATACATACATACATACATACATACATGCATACATGCATGCATACATACTTCTACACACAAACGAACAAACAATTAAAACAAACAGACAAACACAAATCTAAAGACGCAATGACCCAGTGATAAGTGAAGGAGAGAGAGAGGGTTGTCTAGTGACCCAGACAGTGAGGTTACGTAGTGTTACACGTTTGTAGGGGGGTGGGGGGAGTGGGACGGGGAGGGGGCGGAGATTGGGAGAAGGAGGGGGTGGGGAGGGGAAGAGGGGAAGAGGGAAAAGGCGAGGAAGAGAGAGAGAAAGAAGGAGAGGGAGAGGAAGAGGGAGAGAGATAAGGAGAGGTGGAAGGAGAGGGAGAGGGGAGGGAAGAGTGAGAGAGAGAGAGAGAGAGAGAGAGAGAGAGAGAGAGAGAGAGAGAGAGAGAGAGAGAGAGAGAGAGAGAGAGAGAGAGAGAGAGAGAGAGAGAGAGATTTGTCCTTGTACCTCAAATACCTCAGCTGCTCTCACGTCCCGCTAGAACCTTATTTATCTCGCCCTTGCATTTACGTCATCTGGGTACGGGGGCAGCTTAATAAACTCGAGGACATAGCAAACAACGATAACAGCGAGAACCGTTAATTAACGACAATGATAAAATTTTTCGTTTATGACTGCAAAAAGTGTATGTCTGTTTGTTTGAATGTATGTTTGTAAATATGTCTGTCTGTCTGTCTGTCTGTCTGTCTGTCTGTCTGTCTGTCTGTCTGTCTGTCTGTCTGTCTGCCTGCCTGCCTGCCTGCCTGCCTGCCTGCCTGCCTGCCTGCCTGCCTGCCTGCCTGCCTGCCTGCCTGCCTGCCTGTCTGCCTGCCTGTCTATGTCTATTCTTATATCTGTCTGTCTACCTATCTCCCTCTGTCTGCCCGTCTGTCCTTTTTGTTTATCTGATCTCTCCCTTTCTCTCTCTCTTTCTTCTTCATTTCCTCACCAACTTCTCTTTCCCTTTCTTTCTTCTCTCTTTCTCTCCCCTTTCTTCATCACAGCTTGTATAGACTTATGGTTCCAATAAATTCACCAAAAAGGGAAGAAAGAGGGAGGGAGAGAAGATAAAATAACGAAAGATAAATATAGGACAAAGACAAAACATACAAAGGGGAGGGGGGAATAAAGACAACGAATAAATTTAAGGAAAACTAAAAAAAAAAGAAAGAAAAAAACAGATTTAAAAAAGAAGAACAACGGTAACCGATTAAATTGATAATAAAAGCAAAGTGCAAGCGAAGCGATAACAATATCATTAACAAGAACGATAACCATAACAAATTTTGTCTCCAGGTGTTAACAATGTCCTTGGTTATTAGTCTCGCTAGGATTCTATTTTTCCCCTTATTTATCTGTCTGTCTGTCTAGCTGCTGTCCGTCCGTCCCTCTCCCTTCATCCCTCCCTCCCTCCGCTCTTCCCTTATTCCCTTTATTTATTTATTTATTTATTCATTCATTCATTCATTCATTCATTCATTCTTCCCTCCCTTCCTCCCTTTATTTACTTATTCAGTCATTCATTCATTTATTCTTCCCTCCCTTCCTCTCTTTATTCATTCATTCATTCATTTATTCATTCAATCATTCATTCATTCGTTTAATCATTTATTCCTCCTTCTCTTTCCTCCTCCTCCCTCCCTCCACTCCCTCTCTCTCTTCCTCTTCCTCTTCCTCTCCCTCTTCCTCTTCCTCTTTTCCTCTCCCTCTCTTCCTCTCCCTCTCCCTCTCTCCCTCTCCCTCTCCCTCTCTTCCTCTTCCTCTCTTCCTCTCCCTCTCTTCCTCTTCCTCTCTTCCTCTTCCTCTCTTCCTCTTCCTCTCTTCCTCTTCCTCTCCCTCCCTCTCTCCCTCTCTCCCTCTTCCTCTCTTCCTCTCTTCCTCTTCCTCTCTTCCTCTTCCTCTTCCTCTCTTCCTCTTCCTCTTCCTCTCTCCCTCTTCCTCTCTCCCTGTCGCCTAGAGACATCCTTCGCCCGCGAATAAAAATCTCCAAGCAACATCTGCCACCAACACAAACATTACACTCCACACGACTACTTCTTGCAAATGAACGTCGGCATTTGCAATCCCGGGGAAACTGCAACATGCAACGGGCAAATTACATCACGATTGAAGAAAGGCGATTACATAACTTCAGTGTACAATGTAATCTTAATCAAGTTAAAGATAATTTTTCCTTTTTTTTTTGAGGTGAATCCAATAGATATACGAGGTTTCAAATCGAAGGAAAAAATATGGTGAAGGTGATGAAGGTGATATTGATAATGAAGATGAAGATGAAAGTGAAGTGAAGATGAAGATGAGGATGAAGACGAAGAAGAGGACGATAATGATAACGTTGGCGATGACAATGACGATGACAATGATGATGATGATGATGATGATGATGATGATGATGATGATGATGATGATGAAAATAGTACCGGCCATGAAGTAAAACACGCAAAATATAGCGAAATCAA